CATATAAGCTGTATTTGATTTAATGACTAAGATATGTAGTCTAATACTGTAGTGAATGTCAGCTAATCAATAATTTTGATTGATTGACTATATATATAATTTAATAAACCCCAGAATGTGTAGGAAACGATTTGTGAGAATAAAATCATATAGTCCATTTAGACATCATACAGTCTACTATCAAAATAAATAAATTATTGTAAGAAATAAATTAATTTAAATTTTAATAGAAATGAATAAATTGTAAATAAACAAATAAATCCCACAAGTCAGATTTCTCCCCACTAATGGTCCTCAACGAACCAGATCAACCAGAATTAACCAGTGGTTCAATAAATTTAGAAATACACTGGTTCTCAGACTCAAATTAATGGTCAACTTTGAACCGGACGTAATGAATGGTCTTTACACGAACCAGAAATCCTACATTGGTCCATCAAATTAATCACCACCACCACCCCAGCCACCACCACCCTGGTGATCACTACCACCCCAGCCACCACCACCCCAGCTACTACCACCCCGGTCATTACCACCACCCCAGCCGCCGCTGGGTCAACTCTGGGTGTCATCATCTGGCTATAATGTATTACTGTCATCGCTCAATAACCTCCCGTCCCTTGTCGGTTCAGGTCAGCGGGTCAACGCTCCCAACCACTACAATTGAAATTGAAATTGATATAAGTTTATCGAGGTATAAGTTCACAGTAATGGATGAGGTAGCTCAAGCTATTCTTACCCCGTTCAGTATGTGTTCGTGTTTGTGTGTATATATATATATATATATATATATATATATATATATATATATATATATATATATATATATATATATATATATATATATATATATACGTGTGTATATCACGAAAATAAACACGTGATTAAGAATGTGACAATGTCAGACCACGGAGGAAAATGAAACAGGAATTTCCTTAAGTACTTTCGTATATCAAATACATCTTCAGAAGGAATCCTTCTGAATCCTTATTCCTTCTGAAGATGTATTTAATATACGAAAGTACTTAAGGAAATTCCTGTTTCATTTTCCTCCGTGGTCTGACATTGTCATATATATATACACATATGTCGTACCTAGTAGACAGAACGCACTTCTCGGCCTACTGTGCAAGGCCCGATTTGCCTAATAAGCCCAGTTTTCCTGAATTTATATATATTTCTAAATGTTTTCTTATGTAATGGGTAAAGCTACCCATTTCATTATGTATGAGATTATATATATATAATATAAATATATATATATATATATATATATATATATATATATATATATATATATATATATATATATATATATATATATATATATATATATATATGCAATGTCACACAAAACAATTAAATCAAAATGAAAATAAATAAAAATCTATGAAAATTCAATTAGTGCGATCAGAAACATTGAAATGTAATTGTAACATATTTAGAACAGCGTGTGTTGCTCTTACGTGCAACAGATTGGGGCTGTTTCTTAAAAAATAATATTTTTACCTGTCACAGGTGTGGCATCTATACTTATACTTACAAAATGAATGGTATGGGAAACAGCACAGTTCAATTCCAACGCAATGTCTCACAAAATAATTAAATCAAAATGAAAATAAATTGAAATCTATGAAAATTCAATTTATCAATGCAATCAGAAACATTGAAAATGGAATCGTAGCATATTTAGTTTAGTGTATGTTGCTATTATGTGCAACAGATGGCACTGTTTAAAAAAAATCATTTTTACCTGTCACAGGTTTGACATTTATATAGTAAGTATATAAAAACATGCACGTATTCGAATGGAACGTTGTGTCAAAATTTCAAAGATATCGGTGAAGAACTTTGGAGATTACAGCCTGTGTTAATCTTACGTCCAACAGATGGCGCTGTTTAAAAAAAATGTTTTTTCCTGTCACAGGTGATGCATGTATATAGTAGGTATATAAAAACACGTGCCTATTCGAATGCAACATTGTGTCAAAATTTCAAAGCAATCGGTAAAGAGGTTTCGAAGATTTCCCTCACATGAAAAGCACATTAAAAACAGTTTTTCAAAAAATCATGGTTTTCCTATCACAGACGTGACATCTATATAGTATGTATATAAAAACCCGTCGGGTGCGAATGGAACGTTGTGTGAAAATTTCAAAGCAATCGGTGAAGAACTTTCGGAGATTAGCGATTTTGAACAAACGAACATTCCATTTTTATTTATATAGATAGATATAGATAGATAGACGCGTCACAAACAATCAATATATTACAGAACATTTTGAGTGATAAACGTCTTGAGACACAACAGATATACTCAGTATATATATACTTGAGTATATCAAGTCGACTTGAGAATGGTCCAGGATGGACCGAAACGTCGTCGTCCCTTCACCTTCTAGTGTGTGGTCTGGTCAATATATATTTGTCTGGCGTCCTATAAAATATGACACAACAACTAGTTAATAGATTGTGTTCACGAGGCTTGATATAAACAAAATCATTGTCATGTATTTTATAATTTATAGGAGAGAAATAGACTAAAGAGCCGAGGATTTCATGAACCTAAAAGGAATATGGAATTTCTTAATATATTTGATGTTATTAATGGATATTCTCTTGCTTAAACAAAGGCTGTGGCTGGGTGGGTTAGTTATTCTGAATGTCTGGGAATGACAAGCTTTGTCTGCCTATGAATGGGACTGAATATATCTTCAATTCGTTCTCGCAAAATATAAATATATTCTACTGAAATTATGTTTTGAAACTATGTGAGTTTGTAACATTTATTTAATTGTATTAAGAGTCTGACGTATAGACAACCGCTTGTATTTGAATATCTCTTTGGGACTGTTTTCTCTAAATGCGGGTTTTGCTTGGGTTTTCTCCAGCTGGTGAGGACTCGTGATCATCTGGGTGAGGTAAATTACGGGAGGTGGTGCAGCGTCTGAGGCTGTCTTATACAGCAACCGGGAAATACTCCCTCGCACCCTGGAGACGCCCGGAGCCCAGGGAGGTGTGTTTCACCTGGTTGACTACGGCGGTGTTTCACCTGGTTGACTACGGCGGTGTTTCACCTGGTTGACTACGGCGGTGTTTCACCTGGTTGACTACGGCGGTGTTTCACCTGGTTGACTACGGCGGTGTTTCACCTGGTTGACTACGGCGGTGTTTCACCTGGTTGACTACGGCGGTGTTTCACCTGGTTGACTACGGCGGTGTTTCACCTGGTTGACTACGGCGGTGTTTCACCTGGTTGACTACGGCGGTGTTTCACCTGGTTGACTACGACGATATGTATCATACATTTTGTTGTAAATGTAGCATACATTTCGAAGCACACAGTCTCCAGAGCTGCCTGTGTAGTGATACACTACATTAGTACACCTCAGTGTGTCAGGACGCAGCGATGGTATTTCTCATAATACGGGAAGATGTACGAGGGTTGATATAATGACAGGACGCATCCCTGGAAACACAAACCGTAACTGTCTCTATTTTCCGCTTGTTACAACTTGTAATAAAGTTGTTACATCTTGGCTTAACGTGTTTATGACGTATTAGAACGTTGTTACAACTTGCTATATTGGTTGTTATAACTGGTTAGGAGGTGTTAAAACTTGTTCGAACGTTGTACAACGTCGTAGTTTCGGTGTGTGTTTGGCGGGATCCTGGCGTTTTCACTGCAAGATTTACAATTCCTCTCAGTTATATACCGTATCGTCTTTTATCCTTCTTATAGGCCTGTGTAAATGTATTTTTATAATACACTATAATATCTCTTGGGGGGCCGATTATTCCCAATCGCCATTTGACAGGGGAAAATCGGCCCTCAAGGGAAGACATTGTAGTGTATTATAACAATACATTTACTAAGATGAATAAGAAGGATAACTTTTGTAATAATAGGTATTTGTATGGTCGGCACAGTAACCTGACCAGGCATTGTGATGTAGTCATTGCGATAATTCGCCTTGGCTATAGGTACATCTGGCAGGTTAGTGAGGCTGAGCCACTGCCTGAATATTCTGATTGTAAACTCTGTGATAAACCGTTAACACACTTGAACACAACATTGTTCAAGATTAACAATTGTTTATGATTCACTCGAAGACAACATTGTTGAATATGAAGCTGTAGAAGACTTTAGACCTCCCTGGCATATTGTACAATCAACTATATAACTATTTCATCGAATCTGGTATGTTGAAGACTGCCTAACCATGTATCTTAAATTTATTTGTCCGTATTAAAGAAGGAAGAACTTTTTTTTTTTTTAGCTGCATCTCTTATGAATCCATCTCTGCCTTATGTGAGGGTTCCATTTCAAAATCGTAAATTGAAACATGTATAATATCTGATGTAGTAGTCAATGTCGAGGATCAGTGCACTTTGAAGCATTGACCTTCACGTGCTTCAATCTACAATTTAGACATATGATATTCTGTCTGATCCTATGTCTTGTGTGACAATGAATACAAGCAGCACCTCACTGTAATAAGACCTAATTGAATTACTTTGATTACACAACATTGTGTATTAATTTTGTGAATAAACAAATTATTTAAACTTTTTTTTTATTAACACATTTAGCTACATCTACATTTGTGCAGCTGCCCTAGACGATATGAAAATTTTCTTACTTAAACTAATGCTAAAGTCTATAGACTCGGCGCCAAACAATTCACATGCATAAACTTTGTGTAGGAAGGGGTATTGGGGCTGTGTCCCCCCTTCAGGGGGGGCAGTGGGCCGACTCCAGCTACCCTGTGACACTCCCAATAAAATCTTTAATAATCTTGTAGATTTTAATGAGGTTAATCTAAAGCATTATGCCTCCAACCTTGGACTGGTAGACAGACATTATGTTATATATATATATATATATATATATATATATATATAGCTACATCATATTTTTTATTTAAAAAGAAAAGAATTCTTATTATGTAATCTTTTAAGTAATACAATACTAATTTATGATCCTCTTTAAATTTCAGGACGAACGGAACCAGATCCTTACCACAAACTGCTGGCTCAATCAGGTGAGTTCTGAAGCTCTCAACTCACCATTGGGGATCCCGGGTCCTGAGTTTGATAGATGTGCTTTGCCACATTTCCTTTCACCTAATGATTCTGTTAACCTAGCAGTAAACACGCACTCGGGAGTTGAACAACGTAGTGGAGCTGCGTCATGGAGAGGGTCAATAGTTTGACCTTGGGGCGACCTAGGGCCTAGAGTATATGTTGTTACCTGTAGAGAAGAGGGACAATATCTTACTGAGATTGATGCAGGTAACATTCAGTCACTGCCCTAAATATTTACCCCACTTTCTTGGTTACGGAGTTCAAGACTGAGAAAGTATCCCGCTTCTCTCTTCCCTGCACTCCCCAACCCTTGTGTTGAAGTCTGCCCTTAACCCCCCATCAGGTGCACCAGTAAAACACAGCGACCTCAGCAATCCCTCCCTGAGGACTCACTAGGGTGAGTCCTTATAAAGAAAAACGACCATCAGTTTTTGTCCGGTCGTGATGGTCAAGTGGATTAAGGCGTCCTGTACATACTAGTTGCGTTGCTCCTGGCAGAATGGGTTCGAGTCACTTATGGGGTGTGAGTTTTCAGTTGCATATAGTCCTGGGGACCATTCAGGCTTGTTCACACACACACACACACACACACACACATATATATATATATATATATATATATATATATATATATATATATATATATATATATATATATATATTATTAAATATGACCGAAAAAGTAAGATTAATAATTCTAACACGAATTTTCTCAATCTTTCGTACATTACGCTTCACTGTTGGAGGTAAATAAAAAATCACTTCTCCAAAATTCATTTTTATTTCTAGTCTGACGCGACACGGGCGCGTTTCGTAAAACTTATTACATTTTCAAAGACTTCACAAATACACAACTGATTGGAACGTATCTCTGATTTTATATCTACATTTGAGTGAGGTGGGAAGGGTGATGTGGCATTAACACAAGACAGAACAGGAGGGGATATTAATAGGGTATTAAAAGTATCAACACAAGACAGAACAGAAACAATGGGTATTGAATAGAAGTGTTTGTAGAAAGCAAACAAAAACTCGCTTTCTACAAACACTTCTATTCAATACCCATTGTTTCTGTTCTGTCTTGTGTTGATACTTTTAATACCCTATTAATATCCCCTCCTGTTCTGTCTTGTGTTAATGCCACATCACCCTTCCCACCTCACTCAAATGTAGATATAAAATCAGAGATACGTTCCAATCAGTTGTGTATTTGTGAAGTCTTTGAAAATGTAATAAGTTTTACGAAACGCGCCCGTGTCGCGTCAGACTAGAAATAAAAATGAATTTTGGAGAAGTGATTTTTGATTTACCTCCAACAGTGAAGCGTAATGTACGAAAGATTGAGAAAATTCGTGTTAGAATTATTAATCTTACTTTTTCGGTCATATTTAATAATATATGTCTACAGGAAAGACTGCTACCAAAATATACTAATATATATATATATATATATATATATATATATATATATATATATATATATATATATATATATATATATATATATATATATATATATATATGTATGCAACAGTGATTATAAAAACTCTGATCCAAGTATGCGGAAAAACCACATGGGAAAAATAGAGAATGCTAAACGCGTTTTCGGGTTAATTCGTCTTTATCAGAGCAAAGTAGAATGAAGCTTTCATTCTGCTTTGCTCTGATGAAGGCGAATTAAACCAAAAGCTTTTAGCATTCTCGATTTTTCACATGTGGTTTTTCTGCATGCATGCATATATATATATATATATATATATATATATATATATATATATATATATATATATATATATATATATATATATATATATATATATATATATATATATATAAAATATATATATATATATTTCTTGTAAACATATGTTGTTAAATATGACCGAAAAGGTAAGATTAATAATTCTAACACGAATTTTCTCAATATTTCTTATGTTTCTTGTCGATGATTTCTGTGTTGATGGTTAAGATTTCTCTGGTGATGGTCTGGTTGTGAGAAGAGATCATATGTTCCTTAATGGAGCCCTGTTGTTTATGCATTGTTAATCGCCTAGAAAGAGACGTTGTGTCCTTGATTATATACTAAGATCTTTGGAGCTGTCAGTCCCCAAGTGGGCATGTGAAGGCATAGACTACATGGGTTTCTTTCAAGGTGTTCTGTTTGGTGTCTGGAGAGTTCTTCATAAGTAGGTTGGCCGTTTTCTTGCTTTTGTAGTAAATTGTTAATTGTATCTTCTGATTTGTGTTTGGGGGGATAATGTTCCTATTAATAATATCTTTCATGACACTTTCCTCCGTCTTATGAGCTGTCGAAAAGAAGTTCCTGTAAAACAGTCTAATTGGGGGTACAGGTGTTGTGTTAGTTGAGTCTTCAGAGGTTGCATGGCGTTTCACCTTTCTTTTGATGACGCCTTCAACATAACCATTAGAGATGCCAAAGTTGACTAGGACCTTAGTTGACATAGACTTGAAACCCGCCATATATTGCAGGTACGTTGATGACATTTTTATGCAGGTACCTGATGTCAGACGTCTGCAGCAGCTGAAGGAGGTGTTTGAGCAAATTTCGGTGTTAAGTTTCACTTACGAGATGGAGAGTGGTGGGAAGCTGCCCTTTCTAGATGTAACAGCCACGGAAAGGAATGGTGGCTTTCACACTGCAGTCTGCACTAAGGAAACGAACATAGGAATGTGCCTTATTGCCAATAGTGACTGCCCAGACAGGTATAAGAGGAGTATTGTCAATGCTTACGTCGACCGGGTTCTCACTCACAGCTGTTTGGAAGCAGGTCGACGAAGAACTCTGTAGAGTAAGGCTTGACCTCTCATGGGTGAACCAAGTAGGATTGAATCACTTGCTTCTGAACTTTCTAAATCGAAACCTTTTAAATCTGGATTACTATTGAAATACTGATTGAATCTCTGCGAGCAACACTGTTGAAGACTGAATCACTCAGTGAGGCTGTTGATGACCGAATCACTTAGCACAAGACTGATGAAGACTGAATTACTGAGGGTAAGACTGTTGAAGACTGAATCACTCAGGACAAGACTGTTGAAGACTGAATCACTCAGGACAAGACTGATGAAGACTGAATTACTCAGGACAAGATCCTTGAAGACTGAATCACTCAGGACAAGATCCTTGAAGACTGAATCACTCAGGACAAGACGCTTGAAGACTGAATCACTCAGGACATGACGCTTGAAGACTGAATCACTCAGGACAAGATCCTTGAAGACTGAATCACTCAGGACAAGACGCTTGAAGACTGAATCACTCAGGACAAGACCCTTGAAGACTAAATCACTCAGGACAAGACGCTTGAAGACTGAATCACTCAGGACAAGACGCTTGAAGACTGAATCACTCAGGACAAGGGACAAGGGTCGAGACCCTTAAAGACCGAGGTCTGGACCAGAGGGTCAGTAAGGGGGGACCAGAGCGCCATAACATGATCATTTCGGGAGCAGTAGAGATTAACTTTATGGCATCTTAGAAAGGTTATTACGCTCTAATGACCGTATTCTTCCAGGAGATGGTGAGGGAGGGGGTAAGGGGGGGTAGTGGTGAGGGAGGGGTCAGTGCTGACCTATAAGTATATACCTATCAGTGTCTACCGAGGAGTGAAGGTCTAGCTCTTGATGCTGGCCTGGTTGTGTCTTTTGCATTTTAATTTGACTATTCTGACATTCAAATTCATTGTCGAATCTGGCCTTAAAGTTGTGGATGGAGGCGACTTCCACAACTTCTTCTTTTAGAGCATCCCACTTGTTATCTACTCGTACAGGGTACAAGTTATTTGATTTGTATTCATTGTTATTTTATTTTATTAATTTATTTACAAGAAAGTACAATGAGTTTGTGAGAGAACATAATATTGTTATTTTTTACATTCTTACAAAGCCACTAACACATATAACGTCTCTGACAGACAAGTACTTCCTTACGTCCCTTCCAGTTTCCACTTGCATACTCTTGTCCTGCTTTCTCTCAATCTGAAGAAGTAATCCTTGTCCACCTTGTCTATTCCCCTCAGTATCTTATATGTTTTGATCATATCCTCTCTGTTCCTTCTAGCCTTCAGAGTTATGAGAAGTAGTTCCACTATCCTATCCTCATTTAACCATCTTAACTCTGGCACCAATCTTGTTGCAAACCTTTGTATTTTTTCACATTAAGGTTTATGCTTCACAAGGTGTGGTGGATTCCATGCAGGTGATGCGTATTCCAGTATTAGTCTAACAAATGTTGCGTAGATTGCCTTGAAGGCGTCCATATTCAGGTTACTCAACGATGTCAGCGTCCCATATGCTGCCGATGTTGTCCTGTTTATGTGTGCCTCTGGTGTGATTGTCGGAATTATATCCACTCTCAGATCCTTCTCTCTTTCTGATTCATGAAGCTGCCTTCCCCGTATGGTGTAGCTACCTTCTGGTCCCCTCTCTCCCTTTCCCATCTTCATTACCTTACACTTGTTGGGATTGAATTCCAGCATCCATTTATTTGATCAATCCTTGAGTTCGTCAAGGTCTTCGTGTAACTTCCTGCAGTCCTTCTCTATTATTACATTCCTCGTTAGCTTTACAGCACTTGCAAACATTACTAAATATGAGCTCATTACCTCAGGTAGATTGTTCATAACAATTAAGAAGAGCAGTGTCCCGAGGACTGAGCCTCGTGGGACCCTCCTTGTTACATCCTCCAGCATGAAGCCTTCTCTCTCACTGTGACTCTTTACTCTCTGTCCTTCAGGTACTCCCTTAATTACTTGGTTCAGTGTTTCCCCAGTTATCTCCCCCTCCGTCCCCATCTTGTACACGTCTTTCATGGGTAAAAGTAAGGGAACAATCAAGGGAAAGCGCCAAGCCATTACGAATATATAGCACGTGGAAGGGGTCAGGATAAGGATTGGGGATGGGACCGGGGGGGGGGGGGTTACACAGTTTCTAATTC